AAAAAATATCTTTGGTCGCGTGGAATGCACTTCGCACGATTAATGAATTTGTTTCAGGAACAAACCTCTACGATGGACGCACACAACCATAAATTAACATTTCATTACAAGAAACTCATTGAATAAACTTATGGGAGACAATTCCTAGTTACATTTGAACTTTGGTGAAAATGTTAATGCTTTTACAACGATTCCTGTCTTGTATCTTAACGCGAGTTTATATAAACAAATATCGCTGCTCAAAGGCTTCAATGGTTATTTCGTGCTTGCTTGTGTTCATCGCGTCGTTCGTTCGTGTTCGCGCATCAACTGCTATGGCCGTTAGTCCCATAAAATAGTTCATGTTTCATCACGGACCACGGTGATGTTCTTTCCAAGCTGAACGGTGAGATCCGGCGCCGACCTATATATCGTCTTGCGGGGTTTTGCCAATCAGGCATCTCCCTCCAGCAGGGCACCGTCCCAGCCGGACACGCTCTAAGCTCCCCACATGTGTGATAGTATAGTGCGTGTAAATGTGTGTTAGAAGGGGTGAGGAGAAGACAAGGAAGGAAAGGAATGATCGCGCGCGGTCCGTGGTCCATTTCTTATGGAACTGGTGCGGCATTCGCCTGGTGTTGTTCGGAAAAACACGGAAACCTACCGATCCAAGCACCCGGCCGATAGAATTCTCCGTCAGACAGCGACTAAATTCGTCCTCATCGTCAAGCCAGAGACGAAACTTCTGCCACCGTCGGGATTTGAACTCGAGGACCTCCCGAACAGAGGCACGTGCCCTTAGCCATCTAAGCCGGCGAAAGGCTTCCAGTTTGGAGGATGAGAAGGAGGAGGGGAGTTGAGAGCTTGTAGAGGAGTGAGATGGTTGAAGGAGAGGCAAGGGAAACTGGAGAACCCGAAGAAACCTGCTGCGATTCTACTTCTTCATATTACACATGTCCAACGTGCGCAAATATTGAAAGAAAACTACGTAGCCTCTGGCCATGCGAGAGATGTCAAAAACAACAACAACAAAAAGTTCGCTTCTGACTAAAAATGTAAATATTTGAATTCTCCTTTTATTAAACTGAATTTTCATATTCCGTGTGACTGCTTGTGCCACTCAGTGAGGTGATAGCAAGGCATCAAGGGAGAAGAAGCCGCCTTTAAATATTCACGTGTTTGATTATGGAGCGGCAACTTCTTTGATGTTTTTGATATGTAAAGAACTGTTATACAGGCTATCCATGTATCCCATTCTAGGCTTCCGAAGTATTCGTAAAGGCATTTTAAAAATATTTAATTGGTTGCATTGTCAAACAAGAGTATTTTATTGGTTGTTCTGGAACAGTGTGCATTCCACGTTCGGGAAAAACCTGTTTGGTGATTTCGTTCGCCTGCATTTTTGCTGCTGTTTATCGCTAAGTCCACTTGGATCAGAGCGTAGGCTTGCGCGGACGGAATCAGTGGCTAGCGGATTTGGCTGTTCGGGAGACGTTCCATCGTGGGCGAAGGTGCCAACGTTTCAGCCGCCATTTTGCGACCTTCCTCCTGGCGAAATGCAATTTGAGGAGGGTCATAGAGTGCCGAAGCGTGGGCACCCTGACGCCTCGAACGCGGCGACTTTTGAACAGACAATAATCACTTGTCCAATCGGATCGTACTGGGAGAGGTGGCTCAGGGCATCGACTGATGTCCCTGCAGTGCCTCTGACGGGGAGGTCCTGGACTCCCCTCCCCACGGAGACAGGATTTTCCGCACTAGGTTGTCAGCTAGGTCGAATTCAGACGCTGTGTGCAGGAGAATTCAAGCGGACGGCTGCTCTGTTGCTTTCCGTGGTTTCGCCGATCAACACCAGGTGAATGCCAGAGGAGTACCCTAACAAGCGGGCCACGGCAGTTACACTAATGTGTACTACACTACCATATCGCCGGGATACCGGTCGGATAATTAGAGCTTGTCAGTCTGGGGCGGTGCCCCGATGGTGGGGGATACCTGGTTGGGGAAAACACCCGCTAGCCGACGGTAGGTCGGCGCCGAAACTCGCCATGTGCCGGTAGATTTTTCCCATCAACACCAGGCGAATACTGGAGACGTTCCCCCAGTACGGACAGCGCGATCTTTCCTTCCTCTTCCTATTAATATCCTTAACCCTTCCACTAACATGCACTATACTACCACATGTCGGGTGACCGGTCGAGAGCTTAGAACTTGCTCCGGCTGTGGCGGTGCCTCGCTAGAGGGAGATATCTTTTTGGTGAAAACCCCGCTAGTCGACGGATAGATGGGCGCCGGATCTCAGCATCCAGTAGGAGCCATCTCCCACGATAAAACAGGTACTACACCTACGGGACTAATGATCTCAGCAGTTGATGCGCTCGGAATCACTAACAATCAACCATCGACTTGGGCCCTCCAGGGATCGTCCCGCGGCTACGGCGCGCTGCAACGGAGAGGCCCTGGGGCAGACCTAAGCCGCCCCTGCGTCGCTCTTCCGCTTCCGGCGGAGCGAGCCGAACGCGAACGCCCGCGCTTCCGTTGCGGCGCGCGGGAAATCAGCCGTGGAGCTGCGACGCGTCGCGCTAATTAGCAGGGTTAGGATTGAAATGGACAAACATGTCCCTGAATATGTGCTACGTTCTTATGGACTAAACATTTTTAGAATATAAAATGAATTAAAATTGAATAAAAGGGTAGAATTAGAAAAACGAATGTATTCATGGCATACATGGCAAATTACTTATTACATTCATAATATATACGTATGTAACATACATAAAGCAGTTTAAGAACTTAGGTCTGAAACAGCACAATATTACTGCACAAGCAAAATATTTTTCCAAATATCGGCATTTAGCAAAAATTAGCGGCGAATAATTTTCAATTCAATTGAATGATATCTTATTTTACATGGGAAGAGTCAGACCATCAGGTCCCCCTTGAACACTCAAATTTCGCTACGCTCTTTTCACCATATAGCGGAAAAATAAAGAATCAGTATGGCAACGAAACAGGCGATCTGAATTTAGCTCAGAGGCTTCTTTTAGGTTTTATGATCTTTTACATGCAATAATCTTCAACAAGTTTTCGTTTATGGTCGGGATGACCCACTCTGATTGAAATGACCTGACCACCTCCATTGTTCAGGTCATTTGCATCCGTTTCGGAACTTCGTTTCCATTGGCATCAATTGCTGGCAGCTCCCTCTAGGAGTTTTCTCTTCCCCCAATCCCATCGTTAGGACCAGATAGCGCATTATCGAAGAGTCCATCCCTTATCAATTAGGTCGCCCGTCGTTGACCAATGAACTGCGAAAAATAGGAAAGTGATTGGCGTGTGACAGGATTATAGATGTGAATAATTGTGGTGGTCTGCAGAAAAATCTGGTCATTTGTTCTTTTTATATTTTATGAATAATAATAAAAATAATAATAATAATAATGAGAAAAATGCAAACACTTATTTCAAAGAAACAGGACCACATATCACATTAAAATATGTAATTTTATTATAAACTTCATCGTCACAATCAACTTTTCCAGATTTTGTTTCGAATAAATAAGCATTTACAATTTTGTTATTATTAAACCAGCACTTATAATTCGTTATACAAAATAGGGTCATTTTATATTCATAAAATGAAAGTTGTCTTATCGTTACCGAATAATTGTATTTTTTCTCTTTAAAAAATTATGTTAGTGGTCTGCAAAATTAAAAATTAAAAATTGATGACCGAAAGCTGGCTGACTATACCACTGATTTTCAAATGCTCCTGAGAATCTGAGTTTTGTGGATGTCAGAGGAAGGCTCGAATGGGGCGGGAAAGTCATTGGAAGTAGAACAAGAAGAAGGAAAGAAGAGGAAGGACAAGAAGGGGATTAGCAGGAGAAGATAGATGAGGAAGAGGAGGAAAAATAGGGTGGAAGAAGAGAAGGATAAGAACGGATAGAAGAAGGAGAAAAACAACGCGAGGAAGAAAGGGTAGGGCGAGAAAAAGAGAAGAATAAGGAAAATATGATGGTGGGGCAAAGAAGTCGGAAAAACAGACAGAATACGACGACGAAGAGCAGCAAGAAGAAGAAGAAGAAGAAATCATGAAAATTAAACGTCGGTCTTCACTGCTGCAAAGAGAATTCGTTGCCTTCCAAACAGTGGAGAGCCGTTGATTAATTATCGACTCCAGGCGCGTCATTGGATCTGCAAGTGTAGTGGGAATTCAATCGCGAGAGGTGTCGGTTGACTACCCTTACTGGACGGTGAGATCAGGTGCCGACCAACCCGTCGACGTGTGGGGTTTTCCCCAACTAGATATCTCCCACGTGCGAGGCACCCTTCAGCCGGGACAAGCTCTAAGCGCTGGACTGGTCTCTCGAGAAGTGTGGTAGTGTAGTGCATATAAGCAAGTGCTTGTAAGTAAGGATAGGACAAGGAAGAGGAAGTAAACATCGCGCACGGTCCTTGGCCCGTTAGTTAGGGTACTGCTCCGGCATTCGCCTGTTTTTTATCGGACAAACCTCGCGAAACACGATAAGAGCAGGAGGGCGCTAGAATTCCCTCTCAGACAGCGGTCGATCTCTGTGTAGCTATGACGCTGGTGAACAGTTCTGCCATTCCGCGAGACTCGCTGCAAAGGACCTCCCGGTGAGAGGCACTGCAGTGACATCAGTTGATGCCCTGCGCCACCTTCCCCAGTGATAAGAAAAGGGGAGCAGCAGCTGCAGCAGAAGAAGACGTTATAAAAGAAAGCCTCGGCCCTCAGAATGGCGTCAGGAAGGGCATCCGGCCGTACAATGATCGCCGAGTCAGCATAAAAGTGGACGATGAAAACGGGCCCGCCCCATGAGCATCGTCCCCGCAGAAGCGGGAAACGGCAGAAGGGATGCGCAGAAGGACGAAGGGAACGGAGAGGCAGAGCGAGCGCGCCGGCGGCGGGGGAGGGGTGCTGCGCGGCCTCTGACGTAACCGGGGCCGCTGGGAGCAGCAGAAGGCCCCGGCGCCGCCGGCGCCAACGCGCTTTGCCCACCATGCAGCCGCCCCGAGCGCCGCGCCCGCTGAGGCTCTGGCTCGGGCTGTGGCTGGGGCTGGGGCTGGCGCCGCCACCTGCCGCCCTCGCGCGCACCAGCTGGTGGCACACGGCCGTCGTCTACCACGTCTACCCGCTCTCCTTCCTCGACAGCAACGGCGACGGCGTGGGAGACCTCAACGGTCGGTGATACTATTTTTTTCCCTTAATACCCTATTGTTGTTATTATTATTGGTATAAGTTGCATTATTATTAACACAACTAAACAGAAGAATGAAAAGCGTCTCTTAAAGGCCGGTGCCCGGTTAAGGATTTAACACTCCACCGTCCGTTAAGAACAATTGACACGAATTTGTTAGGAGCTAAAGATGGAGTGTGAGTACACTTATTCCAGGAAATTGTATTTCTTTATACTTTCATATGAAGATGGTAGCATGAAAAGTATTAAACGACCCACGGCCAATAACATAAATTACAAACTTGGTTGGTTATTTACTGCTTATACACCTAATGGCATTAATAACAATTTTATCAGTATACCATTAAAATACGAGCGTATTCAAATTACTTCCTTCCCCGTTGCTTTCCAATGTTATCGCAGAACACGAACAGGCACAACAGGTCCGTCGTCACATGTCCAAAGTGGCCTTCATTTTTTTCAGAGATAGATGGCACGTTTTTCATGTGAAACATTTTAGCTACTAAGAAAATGGAAGTTACTCCAAAACACACTATAGTGGGAATTATTTTCAATGACGTGAACAGTGAGAAACTGAACATCCCTCGGAAAATACCCTCAGCCAACGTCTCGCCCGTGCGACTGAACAGGGCTTATCTTATCTGATGGCAGATCAGGGTTGTACAAACGTAAGTTTCAAGCTAACAAAACTTCGTGTAACAATGTATAATTAATTTTTCATTAACTTATTGTTTTTTTTCGATAGTACAAATTTTGCGAATGAAACACATGTAATTTTAACCTGCACTACAAAATTAAGGTATGACATTATAGAACATTTCCTAGTAAGTTTACCCTTAATTATTGTTATACAACATACCTTGGTTACAGCTTTAATGATTTGTCTTGCAGTACTTTGTTTCTGAATATATATTTTCTAACCAATTTTATGTGTGCGTGATTTTTTGAATCTTCCAGTTTATTGTTTATTGCAAATCTTCCATTTTTATCATTTTTCTTGAAACGGAAACTGCGACTTTGCTCATAAATCTTAGTTTTTTAGAATGTTGCGAGACTAGCAAGTTGTCATACGCACAACTTATTAAGATTTGCATACATGTTTCTTTATTCACTGTGTCCTTATTTTCAAGGAGAACCTCATTTTAGGGAAAAAAATATTTCACCATTATATGTATTTCGTTGTGGAAAACACTGACGTTTTACGTGATATGTAGTACTGATTTAGTCGTAGTTGTCCGTCCCTGCACGTTTTTTATAATTTTTAGTTGTGAAAGTTATTTAAGAAAAAAGATTATTGAAACGCATGCGTGTGGAAACGAAAGTTCTGTGTAGGAAATCCAATCTTCAAAGTTTGGTTCGAAGTTTGAATATAATTGTTTTTTTGATGAGACAGGCGTTTCTTAATCTTTTTCTTACGTAGCAATATGCTATAATTGGATTATGTGGGCCTTTATTAAAAAAATAGTTAAACATTTGCAGTAAGCCTACTAAAATTATCACCCTAATATTTCGCCCAATGAGTATTTCACTTAGTGAAATTACAGTAATTCAAAGTTAATGGTATAAGTAATAAGTATAATTATTTGGTAATTAAAACAACTTGTTAATGTATCGCAATTGAGTGAAAATTTAAAGGCGCAGTGAGTACAATGGACGCAATAACGACCTTAGTTATTTGAACACATTCCTACAATAATAGTCGTGACACTGGTGATAAATTTGTTCTCTTAAAATTGATGTCCCGATGTACCTTGCTTACGTGTTTGAAAAATGTAACCTAGACTTCGGCGAAAAAACATGATAGTTTCTTTATGGTATTCACTACTGAGTATGTGTTTCGTGTCGGTTTGCCGACCGTTCTTTCTGATCGCGGTGTAAAAATTACTTTAGAGAGTGCAATTACCAAAACTTTGTTGAAAATTTTGTTGATCTTCGATTCTCTACTGTTAATTTACAATACAATACAGTTTTTTAAAAACAAATTACAGTGTAAACTGCGAAAATCACATACGATTAAGATCTCCAAATAAACAATAAATAAAGAGTTAATTCAGCTTTTCCTTCTTATCTGCAAAGAAGTATAATTAATAATATTCACTATCACTAATCATTACATATCCGTACTATATACAATAAATGGTTTGTGTTTCTAAATTTTCTCCACACAAGAGTTCTTTATAACTTCTATAATATGAAAGTAGCTAAAAATTAATATTTTCAGAAGTAACCTGCAATGCAGAAAGCTGATTTCAAAAGTCGCTTATCTATGTTACTTATCTTCTTGATTTTCAGGCATTGCAATAAAAGATCATTCAAACAATGCTTCGCCAACACGATATTTTCGTAAGCGAGGTTCCTGATTTTGTACACGTTAGTTGCAATTCCAAATTTTCATTATTGCCCTTGAATCGGTATGATATTTTAAGAGCAATCGGAATTATTGCCTTGTGAATTTTCCGACTGCCATTTCAGAGGTTTAACTTCTTCTGAAGATGAGAGACCGAAGACGATCCTCGCCACTTAATATAAAGTACCAGTAAACTGCATTGAGCTGGGGACACGTGACCTACAGCCTCTGCTGTGTGAGGCGTTTTGAAGGAGGTGGCGCGCGGTAATTAGCCGCGCTCCATCCGAGACGGCCTCGACCGCGCCATTCGCACGGTATCTCTTCGCCTTGGCGCTCCTCCGTGTCTAAACGCCTCCAGCAGCACACGACGCGCGAGGGGGGGGGGCGTGACATCACTTCTCTCCTCCTGCCTCCCAAGTGGCCCTCGTAAGTCGCTACACCCAAGGAGGAAGCTGCAAACACTATGGCCATCGCGTATGGCAAATGCGTATTTTAAAAAGTTGTCAAAAGCTTGATTTGGCGTATCACCAACATTTTAGTTTCCAATTCAAGAACCTTGATATGCAATTCTTCCTACCTGCAGACTTTGATACCAATATGAAGAGATTTGTAGTTTCATTGTTAGTAGGCAAACTTCATTTAATTTGAGCACTAATGTTCTCTCAATGATTGATAGGTACTAAGACTAGATCGAAGTACCTCGTACGTGAAAATAATACTCTTGCTTTCGTAAATACTTAACATGCTAGTCGAAGCCATTGTCATTCACTGACAAGATATTTTAACGCTAACCCAGTGAGAATTAGGTTTCCAGAACCTCGTCACCGCCCTGAATGATAATGAATACAAGCTACAACTTTCAAACTGGGATGTTAACTAGTAATTTTTCATTGAAGTTCATTAACATTGCTGGCAAATTCCATAAGATATTTGGAAAGAAACATTTTAGGCCTAAATAATTTACACGAGAATTAGCATTCACATGTACGAGAACCTTAAGCACATGCAAAAAAGGAAGTTAAGTTGGTGGTATTCATTGCCACCATTGAATGATCTTATTACTTATTGTAAAGATTAAATAATAATACAGAAAAATTAAAATTATCACTATTAATAATAACTAGATAGAATGTCTTTTGCATGTCTACTACGTGCCTATTGATTGATAATTCCTGCTGAATGTGTTTTAGAAATAAATAAGCAATATGTTCTTCCAAAGGAAGCATCTTGTGAGTTGTGCCAGCTATTGTGATCATATCGGATCCATATTCCATGCCCCGAACTGAAGAGCCTCTCAACGTTGATTAGAATATGTAAAATTTAACAATATCTTCATTGTCTACTGCACCAAAAACACTAAGTGTGTGCTTGTAAATTTTATTCTGCTGAATATTACAATAAACTAATATTTTGAGTACATTTGTAGAAAATATATTTGTAAATCAAACGCAATGTTTTGCGCAGTTAAAAAATTATATAATTACAAATAATAATACAAATCTATCATTAATGTAATTTATGAAAATTAATATTTCAAATTATAAAAATGCACATTAAACAAATTCATTATATCGTCAACAATAATCAAACCAAAATGTCTGGTCACAGTCGTACAGTATAGCCCTGTAATAAATTTAAAAATAATAAAACAGTGAGGTGAAAGAGTTTAACGAATTTTATAACCGAAACTGTTAACGTCACGAAGTATTAAGAACATTCGAAAACAAATACGATCGTTGATTGTGTACACCTTCACCAACGCTTGTTACTGTTTCGGTGCTCCGTCGACTAGAGTAAGGACAAAGCCACCAACTGCTCCAAGGCCAATTTTGTCGCGCACAACCGACTATAGTAGGGAGAATACATACGGCTCAAGACCTTTTTTCAAGTCTCTCCAGTTGGAAGTCCACTCTAATTTTCTGCACACTTCATAGTCCCCTTTTGGGTTCTCAGTTTCTTTCTCACAGGTTCTCTTATTTTATTCTAATATTTTTCATGTGTTCTTCATTCTCATAATCCTCAACAATAATTTTCAACAATATTTGGGTAATCATTTTCTAAACGTTTTGTCATATATTTGTAAAGAATATCAAGGAGAGTAGCAAAGGTTGACTTCCTTACTTGTATTTCATTTTATATTGTTGATGTCTTCTTTAATTGGTCATTAGAAATTCACAAAACAGATAGATTGCAAAAATGACGGCTTGCAGGCGCTTGTCGTAGGACCCGCCAGCCTGGTACGGACCTTGACCGACCAGCGGTGGCTCTGCCTCTCGCCCATTGGGGTAAGGGGTTCGTGAGGTTAGGGCGAAAGCACGCCTCTACCGCATATCCTGGTCTTGCATGAGGTAATGGGTAAAAGGTGGGTTAATTGCTTACACAATTAATGCATAGCCAAAAGTGTCTTCCGTGAATATTACATAAAATAATAAAAGATCGGTCAGTGTCATTTAGTACGACTATTCCACTCGTGAAATTAAAGCCAATAGTGTTTAACTATACATACAAAATGCCCCAATCGGGGTGGCGTAAGTTTATCGCTTTCTCTATCTGATTTTTCTTACCACTTCTACCTCCTGGCCAATCATAAACTGTGACTCATCTATCTTAGGAGGCGGTATACATCGATCGCTATG